TTTTGCCCCCCCCCCCCCCCCCCTCCCCATTAGAGCTTTTGTAGGTGTCATAAGGAAGGACTTCCGAATAACAAGCGAACACCCCAACAAACACAATAAAGAAGAGACCTAACCCTAACCCTACCCCAAAAAAGAACCTGCAACGGGCCTCATGTAAAAAGGCCAGCACTAATCCAAAATGAAAAAATATTTTTTTTTTTAAACCACACTCCAAAACAAACAAGCAAGGAGCATATGGCCTCGATCTTGATCTACATCTAATCTAGATCTACATTGCTATAATAATAATAATATAGGGTTTGATACAATAACACAATAGAATTGGAATATGAATCCTCCATATAGATTTAGTAATCTAAATAAATATATATAGATCTTGTAGACCAAGTGAATAGGAATAGGCCTTGAACTAGATCTCGAAATCCACATCCGATTCCGAACAGAGGGACTCAGCTGAGTCTAGATTCTAAATAAATAATTCACGCACCTGATGAAATGCGTTTTACCAACATTAATATTACAGCACAACCTATGATAGGGTTTGACACAATGTACCCAAAGATTCTCTACTACCAGTAGCGAATCTTTGGTGTAAAGTAAAGTTGTCCCCGCGTCCGATCCGGACATTGGGGACTGCCTTGTTAGTGAGACAACTTCCTGGGCCTTCCACATATTATTGTGGTAGGGTGGCCAGTTCCTTTCCACGCCACCTTTACTTCCCCTACTCGAAGTTTTTAGGTACCCATTACTGCTGGGTGGGCAGGAGGGGGTGAAAAAATCCGTGTCCGAAACGAATCTTTGGTGTACAGGTATATTATCTTAGGTTACAGTATAGTAGGGTGCTACTGTTAACTCTACATGGACGTAGAAGACACATCTTATTTTTTTTTAAGTTTTAGTAGAGGTTTTACGGCGCTTGCAACTGCATAGGGTCATATTATGAGCGCTAGAAGATTAGAGGTGTTACAAGGGAGTAACAAACATAAAAAGAAGAAGGGGAGATAAGGACGAGACCATCTGTCTGACCAGCAGCAGCAGATCAAACTCAATGTAACGGGACATTTCCAACCACCATAAACAACAAACCTAAAACACAGTTTTATTTGCTTTGCTCATAATAATATGTGTGTTATTGCTGATCTTTTTAAGTTTCAACATAAAGGAAACAGGAGTGAAGAATTTGAATGAATGGGGGAGAAATGCTCCTTTCTGAAAATGCCCTTAGGTTGTTTAGTTTTAGTAAGAGTTTTACGGCACTTGCAACACAATAAGGTCATATTATAAGTGCCGAAGATTAGAGGTGTTTCAAGAGAGTAGCAAACATAAAAAAGAAGGAGGGAAGATAAGGACGATAGATGTTGATAGGAAAGAAGGAGCAAAACACACCAGAGAACGGGCCTGAAAACATCTCGTCTGCAAGAATTGTCCAAGACACGTCCTCAAAGAGATAATCTGTCCCCGTCGTTTTTATGCAAGAAAAATTCTGAAACTATGCAAACTGAGCCCAAAAAATGTGAAATTATGCGATTCGGTTAATTTTAACAAAGAATGATAACGGAAAATAATCAGAAATTAAGCAAAAAAATGATCAAATTTTGCTAAATTATGCAAGGTGCATAAAACCACGGGGACAGGTTAATGTATGTCTAACCGGGCGACAGTCATTCTAACCCTTACACAACTAACTGTGCTGACTAGACTAACACTGAGCCGTTGTCGTTGCTTTGGTCTGAACGCTAATGAGGGTTAATTAGAGATTTGTTTGAGCTACATTTGGTCGGTCGGCCTTTGTAAATGTTGTCAGAACGACGAGCGCTCGTTCGAGTGTTTGTTGTGAACGTGCAGTTAGGCTGAAAATATGCATGTACTGCCACGCACAACTGAAGTGCGCGCGTAAAAAGTCGTGCCCTTCTCTAGTCTTTATTTCCTATCGGTAATTTCACTGACACGACTAGTCGACGTGAGGAGTCGTGAGGACACAAAACGACGTGCGTGCGTGCAGCCCTTCTTCTTCGAGAAGAAAACATGAGGGACAGCAAACATCCGACTGTGATCACCGTGGTGCATGAAGACAGTGAGGGGGCTATACTTTACTTTTACAAAAATTACGGAGAGACGGTAACGTAACTGGG